TCAGGGTACTCTGTGGAGACGTAATTGTATACACAGCATCGTATCACATGATTTCTGCTTTGAGTTTCTGAACAAATGTCATCTTATTCATAACTGATGTGTGTGTAAGAACATGTTCTGGAATTGGTGTAACATGTTGCAAAAGAGGAAATGTACTAAGAAAAAGTGGTAGAAATGAACAGATCTGAGAATTACAGTAAAACTTGTCAACATTCACACCCTAAGATCTGTGATAAATTTATTAAGAAGAATTTCCAATGAAGACTGTGGAAGTAAGACTTAAGTAATATTAATTGCCATTTTTTCTTCCTCCCCCAGCCAACTTTGGTTTAAATGATGTACAAGGTTTGTGTTTGAACTTGGTACACAGAATTAATAGCACAGAGTAATTAACTTTGTCAGTCAATATGTTTATTTGACACTGCTGAATTTAGTGCTTTCAGACGTTATTATGAAGGTGTTTACTTTTACTATACTTTGAACTTGATCACTTGAATGTGTTCTTACCAGTGGAGGCCTGTCCATAAGTGCTGCAGCACCCCGAATAGTTTTTCAGAAATTCAAAAAAAAAATATTTTTTTTGTTAATATAATTTGAAACACTTTATTTCCTCTATATCATTGTTTTAATATTGCCCCTTACGTTGTCATTATCCACTAATCGCCTGGACTGACAATAAGTCCGCGGGTGAGGAGTCCGAAGCAGAATGGGGCTATCATCAGGCTGCATGCATTTCAGCACGGCTGGCCAGTCCAAAGTTGTGAGTGTATTGTGAGGGCAGTTCACTGTTACAGCGCGAATCAGATCTGCGGTCCCCATAGCCAGCCTATAGTGAACATGCTTGCCTGGTACCACGTGTCTTAGACTGGTTTCTTTATCATAATCTGTTTTGTGGTTATTGTTAATGAGTGTTCAATACTTCTTTTCGCTGACTATTTTTTGTTATGATAATGAGCAAAGGAATTGTATCATTGTTACGGCAAATTACTTTTTCTAAATTGTCCTTGACTGAAAAAAGTGATGTAAAATATCATGGCCACCCTCTTCAGGACTTACAAATAGTTAAAACATCGTCGAGCACGTATGGGTCTTCTCCTGATGTAAATTTACTTTTCATTTATTTGTATCGTTATGTGTAGAAAAACTATTCTGGTTTTTCCACTTTGCGCAGCACTACCACTGCTCAGACTCACGAGCCGCCACTGGTTTTTACTTTGTTATTAATAGGACAGTGCATCTTTTATTGAGTTATATTCCTCTGTTTCTGTTTAGCTCTGTGCATAATATGTTGTTAATCTTTATATAATTACTTGCTGTGTAATCTTTATTGGTAAACACAATAGTATTAACAGTTTACGAGAAAAATGTAAGTGTGTAATTTTACCCAAGGCCTTGCCCTAAAATAACCCTGGTAATTTTGTATTGTTTATGTATTTTTAAAGAATGCCCATAGGAAGACAGACATTTTTTCATACTCCAGACAGTACATAAAAGCATGTAGTTGTACATTCAGAGGTCAGAGTTAATGTGTTTAACTGATTTTATTTATAGTATGTCATTTTGGGTCCATATCCTCTATAGAGGAACTCTGACAGCTGAACGCAAACATTATTTCTTGTTGAATATGACTGTCTTGTGGGATGTTATGCCATGTGGTCTGGTAGAAGTTTGTCGATGATTGCTGCCTCTGCCCTGAAGATAGAGGCAGCAAACAAATGTGAAACTCTTGCAGCCTCTTTCCAGACTACATGACGTGACATTCATTAAGATGGTCATCTGATACTTGCTACTCTGAGAACCTGAAATATGACGTGTGCGATATTTGCTGTGTTAGTATCTTTGTAGGAGTGATGTAACATCTACAGTAACGCAGTTGCACTTTCAATAAATGAATGCTAAGACCAGTTCAGAATCACAAACAACCTGTTCTAAAAGTATTCCATGCTGGAATGTCGGACCTGTTCGTCTGTTCCTTTTATATTTGGTTTATGCTGTTACAACAAAGTTTGTTAGGAAACCTGAAAGGAAGAGACTACTTTGAAGATCTAGATGTAGATGGATCTTAATGAAGCAAGGTGGGAGGTTTGAATCTGATTCATCTGACTAAGGATGTGGTCCATTGGTGAACATGGTTATGAGCCTTCTTTTTATGGTTCGTTTTTGTTTCTTCTTTTTCTTCTACTAGAGCAATGGCGATTTGAAGACATTGCGACAGTGGGAAAGGCTGTGGTGGGTCCTGGACTGTAAACCAGGGAAATTTGAATTCCAAGCAGGAATCCTATGGATTCACGTGCAAATTTACTACAGACCTCTCAGGATACACTTAAGGCCGTTCTTTTGTTTATTTCACGGTCCTTTGTGTGTGTGCAGTTTATTTAACGACACTGCTACTAGTGGCTCGGTTGATGAGTGTCAAACAACGTGTTGGTGAGTGAATGGTGTGGAAGGAAGTGGTCGTGCTTATTAAATTTGGCTTACAGTTACGGCATTTGCCACGGGAAGCCTCAGTGTGGCCTGTTTCTGGAACCTCCACCGGTACGGAGCAGAATTACTAAGTCTGAGGAAAGTCGCTGTTAATTCTCATTTCGGATAGGATGTTCTCTGCGTGTGACTGGAAACTGAAAATCATGACTCACAAACTGTCTTTCTGTTTAGTCAGCTACCGCAGAGACTAATTCTGTGAGCATAGCTTCTTGAGAAGCTGATGGTAGTTCATATGATCTACATATTCCACGATATTTATGGAACCCCGAAAGTTCAGCACCGTTTTCAAAAGAGCCCGTCACTCTTCTGTACCGGAGACAGTTGAACTCAGTCCAAAACTTCTGTTTCTTATCCGTTTTAATATTATCCCCTCACCTGCGCATAGGTCTCATAAGTAGTCCCTTACCTTCACGTTCTCTGATTCAAATCCTGTTTGATTTGATTTCCTGAACAGAACAAATTGTGACGCCTCTCGTGGAACATCGTGATACACATCCGTGTTATCCGTCACGCCTCCGAGCACCTGTTCTTCCGATTGCGTGCTGTAGGGTTGAAACGGAATCAGACCCTCTTCCGTCTGTCGGGAGAAGGAAATCTCTCGTAGGCTTGCTTGGGTGTGCTGAAGGCGTGGATGTTCTTCGATCGCAATATTTCATCCAACCCTTTGAAGCTCGGTGGTAACTGTGTATACCACCAACATTAACATTCAGTAACAATGAATTTTGCCCACAGAGTGTACATACGGGTTTCGAGTGGTTCCCACAGTAAATGATTAACTCGCTAAGCGGCATTAACCAGTTGATCATTGTAATGGAGACGTGTTTTATTTCAGGTAGCAGCTGTATTTGTGAGCGTTATTTAGAGGAGCCTCGGGCTGTAAAGAGTAAATAGTCGATAAACTGGGTACGTACACAGACCCTGGACCTGTGCGAATTTCAAGGCCTGACCTTTGATATTTTAGTTCCCTTGGCAGTGTAAATTACGGAGCGCTGTCTGCCCCTAGATTCAGTGTGAATAGAACAAAGGAACATCTTAAAAATAATAGAGAATCTGCTACCAATTTGATGTTGTATGCAGGATGCAAACACCGGTTATATTCTCCTTATTTCTGGTGACTCAGTGTTGAAACTTGAGTGTCCTTAATCACTTAAACTGCCAGGTAGTGTATTTTATGTCTTTTGGCTTTTCCATGTGCTCAAATATCCACGCAGTTTGGAAAGTAACAATCTCATTATTTTGTTACTGTGTCTTTCACATTAAGTTTTGTTATATTTTTCTTATCGTATGGCTCAAATTGCAGTTGTCATTCGGAACTGTATTTGTGAGCATTATTTAGAGGATCCTCAGGCTTCAAAGAGTAAATACATTAACTTTTCTTCTTCAATTTAAACTCCCTACCACAAATTCACTTAAATATGACATGTATACATATATATATATATATATATATATATACACACATGTGATAAAAGGGAAGACATTGCCAAGAAAACAGGCTCTAAAACATGAAAAATGTAGTGATCTGAATTATTCTTTCATTATAATGGTTTGTAAGCATGCACATCAGATCTAAAAAAACTAATGTTGATATTTTTTAGGTCCACTTGTATTTATTACATTATTTTATGTTATTTTCTCTGCTTGGAATAAAATAGCTAATAGAGTTTGAAATACCCTTATCTTTCTCTCTGATTATATGCACTGTTCCAAAAATGTTTACAGAAATATAAATTATAGAGAAATAAATAACTACAGAAGTTTGCATTAGAATGACACTGCCCATGTTCACTCAGAGTACTCTGTCACTGGACCATGGTGGTGGAACTTTATTAATTCATATTCACTTGAATGAGAAGGGTATGTAGAAATATCCACAGCCATCAAATTTGACTTGAGTAATAGAATCAGCATCTGTCGACCAGTGAAATAACAAGCTTCATTAATTTCTAATTGATTTCTTCTTAGGTACATTCATAACCCTTCAGAGCAGCTGTTAAATGTGTCTGAGAGTCCTTATCTCTGAATATGATGTGGGTGAATTTTACAAAATATTATTCTAGTCATTTAATTTTTCATTTAAGATGACAGTTTTAATGATAACCTTATATAAAAGTATATTGTTTTAGCTCATCTCATGACTTAAGATTTTTTTATCTTCTGTAATGACATCAACACCCAGTTAGACAACCACCCACGCAAAGGTTGCTGACCCCAGACATCTTTCATGTCACTGGTACAGTTTAAAATTTTAAGGGCAGAATTCTGGCAAACACCAGTTTTTTTCACCCTGCATACAGTTGTATACTTGTTAGTGTTTATGAGAGGAGGATTCCCAGATGATCTAAGTATCTGTTCGGTACTGGTAAAATTAATGGAATAAATGTCAGTACTTAATCTACTCTCTAAACTTTGCTTTTATGAAAGCTGGCAAAGGAATAAGATATAAAAGCGAATTTAATATCACAAGAGCAATCGGGAATGCGAATGTTATTGCAAGGTTTAGGTCCAGTTCCAACATATCCGACAGGGCATCGCCATTATCATCCCTACCATATCGCCCAGTTATATAAGCTATTCCATCAGCATAACGACAAACAAATGATGATGATGCGGTGATCAGAGCGTCTTGGGTCTGTGGGAAGCGAGCGGTACAGTTTGTCTTAGAATCATATGGAAGTCCATTCAGATTGGCCCAGTTATTGTTACCAAACATCAGCAGGTTAAGGAATGTTCCAGCGTAGCGAGACTGAGTCGCATATGTCAGGTACAGAAGCCATTCTGATAAACTGTGGAAAGCCCTGATAAAGAAAAAAATATGTTTATGGTCATCATTCTTAGTTGATTCGTAGTCTATATGGCTACAAAATCTGTTAATAATGTGAATGTAAATTATAAAAGAATCTTTTTAAAATAAAATTGTAACCCTCTCATCAATTAAATTCACCACTTCCCCCAATGACAACAGTTTTGTTTAAATTCCCTCTGAATTTGTGCTGTTCCTACAGGTCCCTGTTTCAGATTGTGAAAATTCTATTAATACAAAATCTTTTATGGCTGTTCTTAGGATTTTGTAATGTTTTGTAGCTGCACATCAGTTTCCAGTGGGGCCCAGAATTGGGGGGGGGGGATTTCATTGTCACTTAATATAGTATCTCGAAATGTAATGATAATACACATTATATTGCACTTTGTTTTACACCACAACTTCCTGTTCTTGAATTTAGACAAAAGAATTAAACTTCTGAATACTGGTTCCACAGGTACAAGTTTTGATAATGCATGCAATTTTTTTAGCAAATGAAGTAAACAGCATGCCACATTCACACTTTCTTAGCAACTTGTGGGCTGCTGAGTTATAGTTGAAGGCAATTTATTGAAACATCATGAAAATTTATTAAAAATACTAGTTAAGTGGGTCAGTTATTTTTTGGTAACAAATGTTAACTATTTACTTAAATCTAAAATAATATTTAAATCATGTGGAAACTATTTCATCATCATGTAAGGTAACAAAGTATAACGAATGTACACAGGCCACACATTTGAGAACCCCTGGACAATTTGATTTCATTCTGAGTTACATTTATATTTCTGGAGTAAGGGATGACTTTATCTAAAATTTTATATAGTTAATATTTTACAGTACTGATATTTGTTAGGTGCCACTGATTTCTTTTAATATTGTACAAGTACCCAATTTTCCATACACAAGTCTCAAAATTTCAAATTACATAACTGTAAAATTTATATTTCATCAATGAAGTCCCTTTAGTTGCATTTTGTGTCAAATGTCAGTGCTGTCACCTATACAGAGACCAGATTCATTCTTACCTGAAAGTGCCACTGCCGAGCATGAGGTATACAACAGTTATGTAAATGCTGACAACTGAAGCTGTGAAAGAGCTTCTCACTACCAACATAAGAGCAATTGTTTGTTGCTGTGCGAGTAGGTAGCAAGCAAGCTGCACTGCTCCAAACAAAAGCCAGTCTGTCACAGTGTTAAGTCCAGTCAACCTGAAAATAAAAATTGTTTTGAAGATACTGTATGTAATTAATACAGCAAGATATTATTCAGTGGGAGAACTTTTTACAGTAAATATGAATTAGCTAATCTTATACATACACATAAGAAAACTCATCCTCGACAAAACAAAGGGCCAAGTAGTGTAGCAGAACACAATTTATTTCAACGACATTTATGTTTCACTGTGGGGAGTTAATGAGTAGCATTTCAGCATTATGGCAGATTAGTGTTTCACCTTTTTTGTATTATGTAATAGCTAGAACAAAACTATGCATTTGCATTTCATGTATATTGTACATTTTAAGGCAAAACATGTTTCCTCTATCCCAAATTTTGCTTACAATTCAGGTCTTATGACATAACCTCAAAAATCCAGGAATGCTAATGTTCATAAAGTCCAAATAAAACAATATTGTGTCAAGCATGCCTGTACAATGACAAAAATGTATATGTGCTACAAATATTTATGTCTTTGGTATGAAGAACTTTAAATGTGTCATAATTAATTTTGTATGGAAAGGATTATTATTATAATTAGTTTGAAACATAATTAAACTTGTTACAGATGCAATCAGGAAACACCTGTATCTCTGTGTCAGAAATTATACTGTTACCAATTAAAGAAATTGTTGACAGTATTCTTTCTTATTGTTACAAACTTGATTTACAAATTGATTTATGTATAAAAGTACACATATCTTGAAACAATGCCATTCCATCAATATTTTCAATTGTATAGTAGGCCTATGATTGTTTAAAATCTGCCCTGACTTCTGTATCATAATATACATTTTTGGTTTAATGCATAAATGGCAGTAATTACTGAATTAATTAATTAATAATGCTCTCATAACATCTGAGGTTATATTGGTGGCCCAATAAACAGTAGTTCATCTGGTTTAAGAAATATATTTGCAGATGACTGCTGTCTTGTGGGTTGTTGCATGCTGCCTCCAGGGTGATCACCCTGATGATGGAGGCAGCATGGATCTTTGAAGCGTTGGCAGACATCTGCCAGACTACACCATGCAACAACCCAGAAGACAGATCATCAGACTCACCGCCATGAAAACATCAAATCCTACAAATATATTTGTACTTTCATTTTATATTTCTTAAAATTATGTTCTTTTAAAAATTGTTCTTGAAGAAAAAAATATGTTCAACTGCTTCTTTTTACAAAGAGTAATGTGCACAGTATTTTCTAGTTATCATCAGTCCTCTGATTCACTTAAGGTTTATTTATCATACTGATTCAGCAATCACGTATACACATTTTAGTTTGTTTCATATTTCTCATCCAGTTTTAATGTTCATAATATTTCAAACCATTTATTACTACATAAATCAGTGTTACTTGTAGAAAATAAATATGGGAAGTACTCACAGATATGTAATGCGTGTTGCAGCTGCAACAGTTACCACAGCAAAGGGCACAGACAGCAGCCAGTAACTTAAAAGGAACAGGGGCCCGCTATAAAGACCTTCCTGTGCCTCTTGATAATACCGCGTTCTGAAGGCAGGAACTGCAGCATCACCAGACATATTTAAAATATATTTACAGTTCATTTGACAATGCTATGAATAGCCCAGAGTGTATAGTGTCAAATTGTAGGATGACTAGCAAATAGTCAGTTGTAAAAGATGTGGAAGGAAGTGAACATGGACTAATTTGACATTCTTTCCTACCAAGTGCATAGAACAGAGGAAAATCATGAAAAACTTGTCTGGATACCCAGTTTTTAGGCAGAGATTTGAACCCAGTATCTTCTAAATATGAAGCAAGCATCATAACCAGGCAACTGCTATGTTGCCATAATTCAAATATTTTATACTGCTTTATTGGAACAATTTTTTGAAGCGAAACATAGATTTCTTAACACAATCTTTTGTAGCATAAACCTTCTGCAGTAGCTGCACATTTGTAATCATGTGAAAGAGGGTCAGATGCCTGAGGAACATACAAAGCCTTAGTCTGTGATGAAGACTGGAAATATTACTTTTACATATCTTAAGTATTAAGGAGAATTGCATATATAAAATGCTTACAATTCAGACACTACTATAAATCCAGTTTTAAGTAAGTGCATGTGAATATAATGTATAGTTCAATAACTGACACAGGCTGTATTCATGCAAAAAGAGTGAACAACACTACATGTTCACTGGCAACAGCTTACATGATACCAACTTTTTCTGTGAATAACACTATTCTGAACCCAGAGGATACCTACAGTATACAATATGTCATCATCATCATCATCATCATCTATGCTGCTTCAGCCCCTCCCCACTTAGGAGGATTCTTTGTCTTTGAAGTGTGCATTTATGAGTAGTGAGTGACAAGCGCGCTGACTCTGCACGATTTCTACTCAATCCTGATTTGACTGGCAGAGCCATCTAGCAGCAAATCAGGAGACTTGGGTGAGAAATGGCTGCAGAATTTTGCTTACGAAACATCTCTTATCATGCTCATAAGGTTCTTTTACATGCCGTAAATCTACAACATGGGACCGCCGGCTTTACTTTCCCTTCGAAGGAAGTTGTGTTAGATTTTTATCACCCTTAAAAATCCACCGACCTTGGCTGTGATTGAACCTGCGAACCTTGGGGTCCAGTAGTGAGCACGCTAACCACTAGTCCAGTAAGGGCAACGTATACAATGTGAGAATTTTTGTAATAAGGCACTAAGTGTTTCATAACACAAAACTAAGGAAATTTTACAAGCATGACATGTAAATTTTCTGACAAGGTATGCAGTAGAACTAAAATTATCATAGAATAATTATAATTATTGTTACATTACACTTATTCTACAGTAAAATGACTATATGTCATGGTTAAGTGGTTAAAAACTTCTTTGTATTCAAGATGTCCCGCGTAAAATCTAAGGCTGAACTCCAGCCAAACTGTATGGTAGTACCTTAAATTAGGTTGTGACCACTTTGTTTCACATCCTTCACAAATGTGCACTAAAAATCCCATCATTTTATCTATATACTCTAGCAACTGAAAGCATTCTTAAATAAATCAAGATTACATAAAGGTGAAATGTTTGTATAACTTTAGTTTCATATATTGACAGTTGCCGTAAAACTAATTATAAACACTTACATGTGGATGATGTTACGATGATGGATACAAAATAAGCTCCAGCCAGGCAATTGAATATTAGCCCATTTCTTGTGACAAATGTTCTTTGGTAATCCTCCATTCCACTATAGAATATCCACAACAATAAGTGAAAAACAGGAAGTGCTAATAGACGCAGGAAAACGTGAGTTAAGCCCACGACACGGAAGTTGAAAGTAGCTGCTAGGTTCCTCCTGGAATAAAAGCACGTGATGACACTGGAATTATATGAGAATACTGAAACATGTAGGAAATAATGAAAGTGCCATAAAAGAATTCTCTATGGAAACTGCTCTAAAGGCCACAGTCAGTATGATATGGAGATTTATAATGAATATGTATTTGTTGTGCTTTATTTAGCAATACTGATTATCATTTTCCACAGAAAATATTGAATGATGCAACTACACAATTAGCATTTCCATTTAGAATAGAATGGGGATAAACTTGGGCAATGCATATTTCAACTTCAGGTTCTCACAGAAGCAAGTATTTAGATGGCAGTCTTCTGGGTTTCAGAGGCACCATTTATGTCTGAAACATCAGTTAAATTCTACCCGACTACATGGAGCAACAACCCAGAAGACAGCCACCTAAGTATTTTGTTAGAAATAAATCAAGAAAAATTTAACTCTACTACTGTCTCAGCATGGAATCCGAAGAAATGGTCTACGGTGAGCCATGGTTGCGTTGTCTTTGCCGTAGACCAACAACGGAAACCTCAAGTAAAACTTGGGCCAGTGGACATTAAGCTGAGTAACTCAATTTAGATAATACACTAACTCATGTGCAATTAAACATTCAGTGTTGTATTACATGAAGTATAGTTTTAAAAAGTACAACCTTTCGCAGTGCTTTATAACAAACCATCGTTTCATAAATTATATGATTCTAATAGACAGACCAATGAATTAATGTTTTTGCCACTGATGATGACTTCTTGAGGTCAAAATGCATTTGGCACAAAGTGTTATTCAATGTGTAAACAGTTTTGTTTGTATGCACAATTTTATATTTTAGTATCCTTGTCAGATTTGAGATTCTCATGGCAGTGAGTATGAAGATTGTTTGCTGTGTTCTAGATTCTAGCACAACCCAGAAGATAGCCAACTTTGTGTTTGTATCTTTTTAATGTGTAATGCTTTTGACTGAATTTTCTTGGTTCATGATCCAGAATAATTCAACATACACTAAACTGTTTCAAAAAATGTGTCTCTTATAGAACACTTTATTTTTCTTAACTTGTAAAATGCAAAGATAATGCAACAATTTTGTACTCATGTATTTGTTTATATTTATCCATCATAGTGATAGACCATATTTTGTTTTCTCATACTTCCTGACAATTTATAACCCAAGATTTTTTGCCCATCTCCTTCATCTGCTGAGAAAACTGGAGTGTTAAATAAAACAAAATGGCAGATAGCACAGTCTTACATATATAGAGTGAAGGCTACTGTGAATGCATTGGGTCTTCCAAAAGCAGAGAGTGGAACCTTGTTATTGGCTAGTGAAGGTGTTGTAGATCCACCAACAACAGTTGGGACCCCCATATTGTGGACTGCCATCGGATCTGTTGCTGGATCTATGATCTGCACTCCTCCAGGAGCTATTGTAGAAGTTTTACGTCGGAAAGGACCACCCTCCAACTTAAACTTCTCTACAAGAGCTGCTATCTGATGATTAGATTCAATGAAACGTTCCCTTGATCGCCGATCGACTGTAGAAAGGCACACTGCAAACATGAAATCTTGCTGTCAGATTAGGTTACTAATTTGTGATTACATTTGTATATGGTACCTATCATGGTCCTTAGTTTTCCATGGCCCTAGTAACATTGATATATATTATTCAAGTACTACAAGTTTGTGGTTTTAATTTAAAGTATTGTACCAGGGTAAAATAGTAAAGCTGTCCCGCTACATGCCTATGCAGGTGCTTGGGGGGAGTGGAGATGTAGCTCCTACTTATTCTTGACCTCATCACTAGATGGGGGTGAGTGGTCAGCATCATGCCCCAGCCACACTTTATCCCTGGGGAAGGATGCCGGTACCCACTGTAGAGGAGGCTGGGTGGGCCCCAGAGCCGGTCTGGACACAGGCTAGAGGAAAAATCCTCTGCCCCCATCAGGGATCAAACCCCAGTCTTCCAGCCCAGCTTCTATTGTACCAGTGTATTCAGTTAAAATCTGAAGTTTCTATTGTAATCATATACAATGAAGTCTGACTGTCCAAGAAGAATTAATACGCTACATACATGTCACAGTGATGATGGTTTTCTACCTAAGCATGGTATACAGGTCTTGTTTTATGTGTGTTATTTTAATGTCACTTTTCACTCTGTGACACCATACACAGAGTCAGCTTAACCTTAATGGAGGATGACAGCTGAAAAACATTTAATTCGTTAGAATAGGGTATTGACTTCCTTCAGTAAACTTAAAGGCTGAATTTATACAAAGAATATCGTCAGCTGTTTTCAAGTGTGCGAAGATAACGCTTGTATTATGTGAATGACAAAAGCATATGGAAGGGCTAAACTGTTGAGGAATTCTTTGTGTTTGGTAACCTTGTCTGTTAATATCAATTGTTTACATGAAATACAAGTTGGAAGAACTTGTTCTTAATCAAGTAATTGGTAGAGTGGCTTCCATGCCTCTTCTATACACAAGGGCTGAGTGGTTTTATTTTTTCTTCCAACTCTTACTGAGTTATATCTTTAGACCACATCTTACTAGGAGCTGATGCAGGTATCTGTAAATTTCAATGGAAAGGTCAAAACCAGTTATTCCTACTGCCACTGCTACTACTACTGCTGCTACATCCATGATCCATATCAATCCATATGCTGTCACTCATTCCATCAGTCTTGCAACAATAACATGAATCACCAAACCACAGAAACAAATAACAATATGTATGTGAGATTTCAGATTTTCGCAGTGGTAAACATAAAGATGGCTGTCTTTTGAATTGTTGTGCCGTGCAGTCTTGTTGAAGTTTACTGACGTTTCAGAGGTGCTTTCTGCCTCCATCATCAGGGCAATGATGATGATGGAGGCTGCAAGCACCCCTGAAATGTGGTAAACTTTGAGTAGACTATACAGTGCAACATCCCAGATAACAGCCATCTTAAGTAACACTGTCATGCTGTAACTTTGGTTATGAGTCCACCAAATTTCCTTTGTTTAATTGCCATATTTTTCAGTTAAGTAAGTATATCATATGATCTCCACTGCAGTATGAATTGAATCTTTTATCATAAATTTTTAATGTTAGGATTCTTTTTTACATATTTTCCTTGGACTGGCAGCCAGTTCAGGCACATTATTTTAAGAATTACTGATCCAGTTGCTTTCAAATATGATACATATGTCTTCTGTTACTTTCTTCATACTTACAGTAATACATCAGGGGGTTTTCTAACTCTGGGCATGGAAATCCAATTGACCGAAAGTAGTCCAACATGAGTCTTGTACCACCAGTATAAACAACATCTCCAAGACAAAGATATGCCACGCGGTCCAAGAATGGAAACACATCTGACCGTGGCTTCTCCATAGTCAGTACCACCGTTCGCCCATACTTCCGTGCATGGTTTGAAAGAATCGAGATAACTAGGTATGTATTCAGAGGATCCAGATCCCATGTTGGCTCGTCTAACAGAAGCACAACTGAAATGTGAAATCACTGTTCAGAGTTCAATATATAGAGCCTGTTTTATATTTTGTGACTTTTCCAAGTAGATTTAATATATGAAGCTTGTGTAACTGTGACCAATTCAGAATAAAATTACAGTATATTCAGACATTACTTTAGCATGTAATGTCTTTGTTTACATATAGTGAGCCTGAAATGTGTTGTGCTTTGCTTTGTCTTAACAGTGAATGAAAGACAAACACTGGTAGTTTGCTTTGTTAGATAGTTCAATGTCAGCCCGTGTATCTTTCTCCAGCCATTCAACTGTCATTCAGAGTCTTACCACAACGGAGTAAGAACATCTGAAGTTACAAATTGACCTGTGCCGCTGATTCCTTGCTTTAAATGGTCCAAATAATTGATTCTGACTGTCTGTACCATATGTTTAACACAATTCACAGCCTAATGGAGTATAGGCTGGTGATCAAGGCACTAAGCTTTCCAAAATATTTGGGTGCACTATGAAAAATACTCATTTATTCATTCATGGATTAAATCTGCATAATGAAGTGGAGCTCCGTGAAGCTGTTAAGATAGTTTAGAATAACCCATCATTTCCCAGTATGCCCAAGAAAATGTTTGTTGTCACATTCAATTCTACAAAGAACATGTTACGAAATGTACTATTCTGGAGCATCGGCAAGAATTTTACCTTTGAATGGCATCAATGACATCAGAATTGTTTGGGTTTTAAGTATTCCGCATGTAACCATGGTAATCAAGATACCTTCAGTCAATTGTGTACACAGAAACGCATGGAAGTCTTCATATAAAGTGCCCACTACTGTCAATTTTTCACCAAAATTGTAACCCATCAATAAATTTTAGTAAAATAATTCAATATCAAACGTCATTGAAACCAATTCAGCTGTTCTCAGGTTGTTACATGTGGACAGGTAGAAAAGGCAAAGCTAATAGGCACATTTTTATGCCACACAACTTGGTTATGTGTTACTCCAAACCACACATTCACCCTACGGCTCCATGCTGTTGTTCGCTGATTCCGATTCAATATCCTTACAATTATACCTGTGGCCATTCCTTGAGGTATGGAAAGCGGCCTCATCGCTGAAAGTAATTATTTGGAGAAACCACAGATTCTGTTCTGACTCATGTAGCAGGAAAACTGCTTCTTATGCAAAGGCCTCCTTAGCTTAATTTTTCACAACTGCAATTTGTAATCCAAGAAACAGTGTTGTTTGCTTAGGGCATTTTTGACTGTCGTCTTCTTTAAGTCTAACTGATCAGTTATATCGTCAATTACAGAGGGTCGTCATAACTCTTCTCTTCAACTTCCTGTTTCTATCTGCTGTTTGTCTATCAACAAATGTTATTCTTTTGTGGGAGAGAGGGCGCTGTATATAAACACAGTGATACTCATGCACTGAAGACTTCTTGGGTGATTAGCCATGTAAATACGGTGTTACTTTTGGAGACTATCCATCCATCATCGGGTACATGTCTGCCCTGACTTTATCCTGCAGTATGATAACGATGTGAATAAATATGTACTTTGTTTACTTTTAGACCAACTCCCTTACTAGCATCTAACAGAGTTCTGTGTTTCACTTTGTGACATTTATGTTTTTACTTAATAAATTAACATTATCAGTGCACACAAAAAGCTGATGTGTTCCACTCAGTTCTATTCCCCCATTTTCTTGGACCTTCCTAATGGCATATTCTATAAACAGTTGATGTACGATCCCATTGTACTCCTACTTTTCTTCCAGTATTTTATGAATTCAAAATACTTGATCATTTGTTGATTTATATTGTCACACTCTATGCAGATGACCCTCAATAATTTTGTCTGTTAATGGAGTTAACTTTGACAGAAGAATGTTGAATAACATTTTATATGTAGCTGGTAACCGTGATATTGCACGATAATTACTACAATCAGTTTTATCATCTTTCTTGTAAATAGGTATAAGAATATATTTCTTCCACTGCTCCACTCAAAGTGGTAGTTATCTGTACCAACTGCTTTAATCTCCACAGAGTTTATTTATGGGTCTTCTATGGTTCTCAGAGTAAACAGCAATTATTTCCTTAAACAGCATTAACCAGTTTATCTTTTTAATGGTGAAGTGTTGTGTTTTATTTGCAGTATGGACTGATCTGTTAAATATTTATATGAGCTTTGATTTCAAAGGATTAATACACTGTGGATCTCTGAATTTAATGTGTTACGTCCTGCTTCAACAATTTAGCCAGACTTTGATCAATACTTTGCGATCATATCTTTTAAACTCTTCAATAGAAATCTTAACCTCAAAAAACACTAAGCTCGCATACTAATGGCTTACCCAACAGCAGACTGACGATCTCTGTTCAAAGTGTATGACTGCGTGAGGGATAATTAGACAGGAGGTGCAACAGATCACTGGTACCAGTGCATGGATCACTGATGCGCCTCTCATTTCTATCCCATTTTCATTAAGTTAGTCACGTAATCAATTAATCAGTCCACCCGATTATATAGATGTTACCTGATAACATAGTTTGCGTTATTCTAAACAAAAAATATAATGCTCCATAATACCTGGGTCCCTTACAAGTTGAACACCAATCATAAGTCTTCGATATTCACTTTGTGTCAGGTCACCAACTGCTCTGTTAGCCACCTGGGTTAATGCCAAGTCAGCCATCACTTGTTTCATTCTCGATCTTTTTACATACCGTGATACCTGTAAAGCAAGTTCACCTTTACAAGAAATTATATGAAAACTGGTGTTTAACTACAATTAAATATGCAAGTCTTTTCATAGGTTTTAAACAACACTTCTGTGTCACCTACTTTTGGTAAGCACTGTAAGATGAATCCCTTCTTGGTTTTCTCAGATTTGTCATGCATGTCACTTTAACATCAACAGAGCAAATGTTAGTGTAAATAAAGTTAGCAATACACACAAATAGGAACCTTTGAACCAATTGTGAGATGAGCAGCATAATGCAGTGTTTGCTGAACTGTGAGTCCGGGCAGGAGATCACACTTGTGAGTGACGTAACCGCAGTTCTGCTGAAACAGTTGTAAGGACATGGGGGCACCATTCAGTAGGATTTGTCCTCTCGTGGGGCCTTGTGCACGACGAGATATTACTTCCAACAGAGCCCTCTTTCCACTACCTAAAATGGGTATTAAGACAACTTAATCACTTCATAAAATGCATTACATGTACACAATAGTAAAGCTGTCCCACTATACGCCATGTAGGCGCTTGGGGGAGAGGAGTTATAGCACATATTCATTCTTGACCTTGGCACTAGATGGGGGTTAGTGGTCAGCATCATGCCCCAGCCACGCTTTACCCCCGGGAAAGGACCCTGCTGGTGCCCATTGGATAGGAGGCTGGATGGGCCCCAGATCCGACCTGAATGTAGAGGCTAGAGAAAAAATCCTCTGCGCCCATCCTGTTTGTGGAGCTCTGCCCACTTGGACCTTCTATCTTGTGCCTAGCCCTCCAGGGTACTGGAAATCCATTTTCTGCCTTGACAGTGATTTGACCATGGTGGGTTAGACTTCCACTGATTCCCTCAGGCCTCTGCCCCTCTCTGGGTTACCTCACTTTAGTGCCTTGTTCTCAGGGCTTGTTGTCAGTGGCTTGTGTTTGATCACACTGACAACTTCCAGGAAGGAAAGCTGACATTATCACAGTAATCTCCAACACTCGCAATTTCATGTTTAATAATAATTAATTATACATATTAAGTATCATGTTTTTTGTCTTTGGTCCCCCTAACCCCATTTTTCACATAAGGTTTGAATTTTATGCATTGCAGTTTTCCTGTTTACAGGAGTTTTGATGAATAGTGAACTGCAAGGGTGTTCTGCACACCACAGAAGTTCTGTGTATATCTGTTGACTTCCATCCTGTGTCATTTCAAAATCCCTCAATTAATAAAAATGGGTCACTTCTTAGAGTTCTCAAAGTATACCAATTGTTATAATTCATTAATCAAGAAAGAAAAGTTTTATATGTAGTACTTTATCTGTACAAGAGGCAAAATTACGTCATTCACCTTTTGAACCCAGTATGGCAAGGACTTCACCTCCATGGACTAATAGGGACACATCTTTAAGAATTACTCCAGTCTTCACACTTCCCATCAGTCGCTGCAAACACGTTCCAGGCTCCACCTTAAAAACAAGATGACAGATTTAGGATTTGAGGTTTTCACAGCGGTGGGTATGAATATTGCTGTCTTCTGGGTTGTTACGCCACGTAGTACGCGGCATAACAACCCAGAAGACAGCAATCTTCAAGATGACAGATGTTTGTAGCAATCGTTGTGATAAGCAGTTTAGACTGAATAAAAAAGTAATTGCAGTTCTGATAATAATAAACCACAAGTACAGCAAATATCAATTCCAAGTGTAGTAGTACTGTCAATCACAAACCACACATATTATTAGTCTGAAGGATTTTGACAAAGATGTGTCATTTAACAGATTAACATTTCTTGACAGTTTTCCTTCAGCTTAGCTTAAAAAATCACATACAACATTTCAGGTTACTATGAAGATGGTTGGTAACCACCTACAAGAACTGTCTAACACTTAGAAAACCACAATTCAAATTAAGATTAAAATGTGTCAAAAGTTTTATTTGATCAAGAAAATATTAAACAGAATTAAGTCAATTTCTACAGTTATTATGGAGTTTATTTTCTAATTCGGGCTTTTAATGTCTGGCACGTCTCATTCAAGGCCAGTGGTGGAAAAAATTAATTAGACCTGTTTGCATGTAAAATGTTAAAATAAAGGTACCTCTAATAATTAACAGCATTAAATTACATAAAGTGAAATAAAGAAAAGATGTTTGCAGCAGATGGAAGAAGAAAATGGGAGGACCCCAACAGGGCTGCCCTGGTCCTCGAGCATTGACATTAAGATGTACGAAATATTTTGTGCACAGTAACACCCTGAGAAGTAAAAATGTGGCATAAAAATACAAAAATGGATCAGAAATAAAGATAGAAGACTGAGTTAAATTTGCAAACTCAAGAACAAATCATTATACAGTGCCAAATTTCCAGTGAATCCTTCTGCACTGAGCACCAAAGTTTTGTAGAGATGGAGAATATTTCTTTTATCTATTACAGATATTGAACATGAGTTGCTTCGTCACATGCTTGTGCTTAGTTTCCGGTACATATTTGTTATGCATCCAACCTAGAATTTTAAAAAAGCAATACCAAACTGACTGGTAATGGCAACAGCTGTGATGCTTCATCATGTTGTTTGAATTCTCATTCATATGCACCAAGAAAATTTTTGTAATTTTTGGTCTTTATTGAGTTTTGTTGCGACTGACCATGGGTGCCGAGTACTGGAATAACATTTTGTTTCAATAATCACCCAGACATGTGTTAAAATAATTCCAGAATTTTACTGTTCTACAGGATTCTATCAGATTAAACAATAATATGAATATAATTCGAAACCAAGTGGGAGATTATTACATTATTAGTTTAATAAGTGTCATCCAATCCATACAAATAAAAATAATTAATCTGCAAAAGTTACAGTTGTGTTACTGATGCCAAGTGAGATACGACTTGATTCCACATTTCCCTTTTTAGCTGTTCTTCATGCTATAGCATCAGCGAAGAACACCTTGTGGGCTTTTCCATGTCCATCTGCCTGTCCGCTTGTCGGAGGTCAACGTTCCTGTGGGGGTACTCAAACTGCATGACCTAGCGTGACAGTAATGTGAAAATGACCTCAGATCACATCAATGCAATGACCAAAGTGAAGAACATCTCTGCAATGTCAGTGTACTCTAAACAGAACACACTTTTAATTTTTCTTTACTTGGCAGCGAGGTGACAGACTCACCATTTTTTCCCAACAAGATGGCAGCGAAGTGTAAAGGCATTGTGACGACTTCTAATAAAAGCTGCGATTCAAGACACTTGGTTCTGAGACATGTACATCAGCTGTTTGCAGACTACTGGTAGTGACAACGTGTTATGTAGTGACCACTGTGAACTAACGCAGATGTGCACACTGCAGCGTTAGAACTGCTGAGGTTTCAGGAAGGCAAAGTTTTTCTAAATGTAAGATTATTAATATTATTTCAGGACAACTGTGACCCAAGAAAGGCTGTGTGTCTTGTCCATCTAGAAAGAAGCGTTGCTGAGTAATGACTGCAATAATCTCCCATAGCAGAATTTGCAGCATGGAAATCGAGACAGCTCGATTTCGTGTAAGCAGGGCGATCGTGAAGGGTGAGTTGCATTATGAAGCATATTAAGTTATACTAACTTGACTATGATCCAAGAACAGAGATGAGACTTGGCGCCAGTAATATTAAACGCAGTTTACCAGATTAGAAATTTTTCTACTTGTAATTATTTTAAGGAGGGGCGCAGAAACTGCTTCGTCCTGGGCCCCGCACCCCTCTAGGGAACCCAGTACAGTCTTAACGCAATGCAGCTCTATGTAATACAAATTCCACATGGAAGAAAACTTTTTTGATATTTGATTGTTACGTTGGTTAGGGCCGGATCATTACTTTGAAGCTTTATTGTGCATCTAATTACAGGTATTTTGGAGTTATAACCTATTGGTAATTGCAGTCGTTTTGTCCAAATTTTGTTCACAAAAGACATTTTTGAAGGTGAAAACTAGCAACTGGTAACCAAAGTGTTTTAAAACTAGCAAACTTCGTAGATTAAAATTTGGGCAGAACTAAGCGTAGGACATCAGAAACATTATTTTAAGTGAGCATACTGCCAACTCGTGTGTACAGTACAATCTCAATATGGGATCTTCATGGGCACAACATTGGGGTTGGCATCTCCCTTTCCTTAGAACAGCACATACTCTTCGTCTCCCCTCCTTTTCCAGACGCCAATGTGTCATCATTAAACTATATACAGAATTATGTATGCGTTTTCCGCTGACTGAAATCGTGAATGGATGAAAGTACCAACGCAGCTGTACTACCACTCAGCCGATAATAAACCTCGCCCTGGTATGGGTATGTTATCAGACTTTCAAAAGCTGTGAAATTCCGCTATTGGGCATTATCATGTTAATGACGCGTTGATAAAAGTAGACTTCTGTATCGTGGAACGAAAAATGTTTTTAACTATGGTAATACGGGCCTACTAGTCAAACAGGACACAAAGACGGAGGCAGTTTTTTTGTGTTCGTTCTTATTCTGTGTGCGATGATAATATCTGGATGTATGTCAGGTGTAGTTCCCATGAATAGTGCAATGCAAATTGGATTATTAGGTGTCAGAAGATTTTGTTTTCAAGACATTCACTTACACATACGAGTTAATTAAAATCCTGTCCGCGACAGCCTGATCCAAGCAGACACTTGTAGTTACGAATTATATACACACAGATTCACATCTCCATGGAGATCATAAAATAAAATACATGTGGGTAAACTATTATTATATCTCTCCTGTTGACTACATGCGTGTTCAGCAACCAACTAATAACTGACTTTGGTGTAGAAAATTTATTTTTCCACTCACAGTGTGTAGTAGGTAGTACATACTGCACACACGCAAGGTTTTTAGGCTGTCCGGCAACACTGTTAAGAACGTGACCACTGACATGGACAGCATCGTTAGTTACTCGGTCATAAAATTGCTTTATGAAAAGTGTGTGTCTTGTGACATTCCCTTAATCAGTTTGGCCGTACATACGAGTCGTTTTGGAACAGCAGTGAAGTTGCTGCCATAAGAATGGGTTACATTGTCGTTTTTTTATGGCTACATAACAAATCACTAACCTTTCTTCCGTCAAGACAACTTAATTTTGAGCTGTGTTCATATTTTTAAATGAGCTTTCTCTAGAATTAGACATATCCATTATCATCCCTGCATAAGTAATACGTCAAAAGAGCCCAGCCTGTGAGAATAATACTGTACGAAGTAACGGAACGCGAAGTCGTGTTGTAACACTTACCTGGCCTGTATGAAAAACGTTGCACAGCTCCAAGGAATATTCATTTCCAATCATGATGGATTTCACTGGACAGAAATGTTTACCAGTTAAGTTCTTACGTAAACTTGCTTTTTGGAATCACTGCTGTTGACACTGTTTCATGCCAAATCCGCGACATTCTGTGGGAAAACTGACGGGATAATGAGACTCCCTTCACGACCAGTTAGGTCAAGGAACTTAGAAGGATAGACATTCTACCATCATTATTCTGTAGTAGTGTGTGTCGGGTTGCAGGAATTCCGGCACTTGTCCTCGATATGCACTGAATTAGAACTCTGAAACACATTAAAATACATTTTACGGTCCATTCCACACCATTATTATTCACATGTGTATATTATGTTTGTGATTATATAATTATATGTATGTCCATGTATTTATGTGTACAATATATGTGTATGTATATGAAATATATACTATGCATTTCCTGTAGGCTTATTTGTTTAAAATTAACTCTTAAAATTGTATTTGTATTTATATTCTCTTCAAATATTATCCATTGTAAATCAGAACCCTGATGATGGGGACAGAGTTGATTCCCGAAACGTTGGTTTACTACGGTAACCAGTTGACGCGGCTGATTGCCCGAGAAGATTTTATTAACTGGTATTTCGTCCAACTTGAACACTGATCACTCAATCCATGATAAATTAATACAATAAACATGCTTTGCAGAAAAGACTGCGATTGATATGATCTGTTAATGTTTTCTTAACACAAATTTTAAGCTTCAAAGATACTAGTGTTTTATGCTAGGCGACTGATTGGTCCCGCAGAATATCGATATTTTATGGGAGGTCAGATATTTATCGATTTTCTAAAAGTCGAGTCTTGTAGGTACAGTATAACACTTTGTGTAATACATAAGATGTAGATCTCATTATGATCTGTAACTTTTATTTGAACACTTTTGTATCTGAATATTTAACGAAATGCAAACAAATTATTTTTCGTCACTGTGTAAAATATCTGTAGTGCGGACAGCTTTGCAGTAATACATTTTGGCCTGAGATAAATGCACATCAACAGCATGGACGCAGGCGAAACACCAAATAAGGCAGTTGGAAAATACGATTTTGCGGTAACTTAATACATACCCATTCTTATCTACTGAATAGCGAAACTCTAATAATGGGGCTGTTGTTCTTACCACAGTCTAGTAATACAGGCGGGTTAGGATTGAAACAATTATGAGAGTAGATAGACCAAAGAATACATAAGATAAATGATGTGCTAGGTGGATACACAGTAAAGTGGACACGTCATCAGTTGCCAGAGCCATTAATAGTCATTGAAACAAAAGAAAGGCTGCGCATGAAACCGAACTTTTTTAAGGATACATTTACAACTTACAACTTAGAACGTGTTTGTGGAACAGATTCTGATATTCCTCGGAAAATTGTCGGAAAGAATATGAGTCATACGCTATACATCCTAAGTTTCTCACCTTTATAGCATAAAATGTAGGCAAAGACCCTCGCGTAGTTTTGTCTCTTTAAGTGTTCAAAGTGTAATTTATAAAGTAAAGTAAAGTTTGTCCCACTATACGCCATTTAGGCGTTTGGGGTGAGAGGAGGTATAGCTCATACTCATTCTTGACCTCGGCACTAGATGGGGGTGAGTGGTCAGCATCTCGCCCCGGCCGGCTTTACCCCCGGGAAAGGACTCCGGTACCCATTGTAGAGGAGGCTGGGAGGGCCCCAGAGCCGGTCTGGACGCAGAGGTTAGGGGAAAAATCCTCTGCCCCCGTCGGGGATCGAACCCCGGTCGTCCAGCCCGTAGCT